TATTGGTATTCAGGTTAAAATAGACAGAAAAAAAGAATAAAGAATTGAAAAAAGTCTGTTTTTTTTAACGAACTATATTAACCAATTATGTTTTTTCGTGCTTTTTTGTAACAATTTTTAAAATTTTCAATTCTAATCTATTAGTTTAATTCTGGTTTTTTTTTCGCTGTTACTGTAAACAAATACAACTAAAACTTGCCAGAGAATAATTATCTGTTTTTTAAAAAAGGAGCCCAGACCTGTGATCCGTGTTAAGATTCTAACAGACGTTACTCCCATCTTCTGTTCTCAGATATCAGTTAGGTGGTTTTATATTGAAGTTAGGATGCAGAAAAACCTGAAAGTTTTTTCAGAGAGAAAATATTCTTAAAAGTCTTATTAATTCACTGGTAGGAAGGAATTGTAGTTTTTTTTTTCTTGGCAATACAACTTCTTCATTTCCTTACCTTGTTTCAAACGTCATCTTTGTTATTGGCATTTAACAAGAAAATTTTTGCATATACCTGAAGTTTGGTTAAACTCGGCGAACTTGTGAAGCTCAACTGTTCAGAAAGACTTGTAATTTATGAAGTAGCTTTTAACTGCCTATTCATAACATATGCAAACTTTATAAGGTTGATCTACAGGGGAGTTCAAAGATTCTGAGGTTGTTCTGCGTTGGCTAAGGTCACATGACGAAGTGGTTACTTGGGATCTTACCGATGACAACTTTGAAGAAAAAACACATAGTTATTCTCCAAACGAAGGGGCCCTCGACTGGTTTGTCATGTTGTAAGTTTATCACCTATTAAAATGTGTGATGCCAATATTTAAACTCTTTTTTGATAAATATTTTCACTTTTTCTTTAGCTCCAAATTTGTGCTGTTTAAGATGCTATGTATTTAAAACTTGAACACGACTTTTTCAATAACCTAGAAAGAAAAGTTGATTTCCTTTAAGCAAATCTTTGCAAAACCTATTTTTGAAGAAAAAAAAAAAGGAAAAAGAAGATAACTCAACCGTCTATAGGAAATTTGGACTAAACACTAAATTTTTTTCACAAAATAACTTGTTTCCGCTGTTTGTATAGTAAGTAGAAATTAATATTTTTTTGTCATGTAAGAAGATTTAAGTTGTAACTTGGTTACTTGATGTAAAACTATTGTTTACAGTTATAACGCCGAAGTACCAGATTGCAATGCATTTGTATCATCGTGGGAAACTGTTGCACATAAGTAATGTTTATCTGATATTGCTCTGAATGTGACTTTAGAATGTCTGTATGTTAGTTTCCATTTAAAATCGTCCAACTTTTTCTGTCCTGTAGCTTCTATTGAAAAGAAAAAAAAACAAAACGATGAAAAAGTTTGAAACGCTCAAGCTTAGACAATTGTAATAATCTGCACAATTCAAGGTAATTTTTAATTTTTCTAGACTAAGAGGGATCGTCAACGTTGGAAAAGTGGACGGATCAGTTAATGATGATGTAATGGAAAGGTTCCGTCTAGACTCGGATCAATGTCCTGTCTTCCTATTGTACGCCGTTTTTTAATCGGAATATATCTTGTGGATTTGCTGGAAAGCTATCTGATCGTTTTAATATCTGTATTTAGCTTTCACCGAGGGAAAATGTATCGTTATAAAGATGCAGCAAAAGACATTCGTGGCTTAACAACATTTGCTTTACATAAGTACAAAGATCAACGAGGTCATCGAATTCCCGAACCACCAACCGCTCTTGAGCAGTTCTACGAACAAGTTAAAGAGCGTGCTATAGAAATTCTAGTAAGTAACTATACTTTGAAGGCACTTAAAAAGGAGTACATCTTTTACGGAAATGATGGAATTGTAAGTGCTTTAGTTGAAAGTATGTTTTTGTAATTGCCTGTTTATAGGACGATAGTCAAGCACTGTCAATAATTGGCGTCACTGGCTTGATTGTAATAATTGCTATAACCTTGGTGGCAAAAGCGAGAAGGATTCAGGCAGCTCAAACCGCTGCAAATGAAAAACCAAAAACGACATAAAATTAGCCATACTGCAGTCCAATGGCCCACAGCGTGAACTTCGTATAACTAATTAACAAGTCTTTAATAGCGATGAAGTCTTCTGCCGAAACGAGTAACAACAAAATAAAGAAATGTATTTTAATACCGAATTGCTGTTTTTGTAAATTAGGAGTTGTAAAAAACTGCTCACAGAAACTCCTGTTAACGGCTGTCTTGATGGGAAAGTAAAACGCACAGCTGAATTATAGCAACGAGGTAACATCCTGGTAACAACAGTAAAAGGTCATATTTTCTAAAAAACCTTTAAATGACTATGTTACTTTTAAAATCGCTCTGCTACCTACGCCGCATTAATTTTATTTTGGAATGTATGCAACCACAGTATTTTTTGAAACTCCAAATTTGCATCAAAATTTCATCACTCATCCAGGAGCACCAGAATTTTGTAAGACCAGGTGGAGACTCACTACTCCAAATAGGAAGACCTTCAACCAACCGTACCCATCGACTTTTGAGTCGTTGTGACAGAGTTTTCAGGAGTGTCGAATTGCTTTTTAAATATTGTTTTTCATTCATTCACTATCTCTAATGCCAAATTGTTAACTATAACTGTTTAAATAAATTTTTTTTATTGAAGCACTTAACAACATGAGCCGAACAGCAAACTACAACACATTTTACCACAAGGATTACAGTAATTACTGTTAGACGACAACGAATCCCAGAACAGAAAAAAAAAA